AATACCTGAGGGAACACTTTGTGACAGCAGAAACTATTTGTGAGAGATGTAGCCAGATACCCACCATCCTGTTGGTGTATGTTGCTCTCAGCCTGTCTGGGAATCGGCACTCTCAACTACTGATACAAGGGGATCTAATCATATTGCACAGTTGTAATATTGATTACACATGGCCTTACAGGATGAATACATGCAACTAGATTGCTCAGCGTGTCAACTTTTGGAGATCTAGGCAGTGAAGGGCTTGAGGAGCAGATACAGGGGTGACAGACAGGGCAACCTGGAAGCAGACAAGCCTGTCTGGACCTCTGTGCTCCCTCGGGGCCAATATACTGCCCCCAAAATGTTTCTCTTCAAGCCTCTTCTATCATCAAGAAATGCATATGCCTCTGGTCAGCTGTGCCTTCTTAGGGATTCTGTTAGATGTTTATAGTTAAGCATCAAAATTAATTCTCAAGGAGATATTAATAGCCAGGAAGCTTTACTGTGTCTCCCGCCCCCCTTCCCCGAGGTAGCTCCAGCCTCATCAGAGTCACTCTTGGTGGTCAGTGAGTGGTGGTCAGTAGAGCACCTCTTAGCCTCTCTGTGGGCCTAAGACTTACTATTTGGCTCTGGGATCATCGCTCAAGTTTTACCAACAAACCTGTTTCATCCGGGAACTGAAAAAGCCCTGGAGAAGACTAAGGGGGTGAGGTTGAGATATAGGCACAGGAAAGATGGATTTATTTTTTGTTTGACTCCAAAGTCCAAAACTCTTACTGATACAATGAATTGTTGAAGCTGTTGGAAAGTGGGGCCCATAAAGTAATCTGGGTGGGGCATGTCCCTATCACCTCTCCTGAGCTGGCTGGTGCCCCAGCCTGAACTCCTGAATGTGTGACAGTGACCAGAACTGTGCTGTGTCAGTGCTTATGATGCAGGGTCACTTGAGCAAAGCAGGAAAGTGTGAAGCAGCAAAAATTCAGCATAAAGTAGAGGATTGAGCCTTGTTGAGGCACCTGACTTTCCAGGCCTCTGCTAATTCCCCCGAGACCCATGGCCAGTCACTGCCCACCTTTGATGGAGCGGACCCATTTTCTCCGCTCCATTAATGGCAAGGAAAGGGGTTTTCCAGGAATAAAGCAGCACCTAAGGGGCTGTCTCCTCTGGTGCATGTTGCTACCACAGCCCAATGAAGAGCACCTGTGGATATTGTCGATGCTTAACCACCCACCTTATGATGATGTTTGAAATAGAACTTGCTAGAGCAGGGAGTCTGTCCCCCGAATCAGATTGCTGGGCCATCTGGTGTTGCAGCTGACCTGAAAATGAATCCAGTACATTTCAGACCTGAGCTGCAGCTGGCGTGGGGAAATCTAAGAGACAGGTGGTTCCCTTAACAGATGTACGTTCAGTTAGGGTAGGCACGAAAGAAAATTTCATCCTTGTTAAACCTTCAAGTGTTTTTCTGGGATGCATAGTAGCTCCCTGACCTTTCCATGATAATAACCAGGTCAGGACAAACAATATTTCCTTCTCCTTTGTCAAAATAATCTGTGCAAGTCAATGACTGTAAGGTTTTACATGAACATACCAAGGGGTAGCTGGATAAGAAAGACTGGGAGGTAGCTGGGAGAGCAGTCACAAGCCACATTCTCTCCAACACTCTTATTACAAAAGTGAGCAGACCAAACTCTCAAAGAGGTAAAACATTTGTTGCTGAATCTAAGGTGCTTCTGTATCCTGCAAATTTTAAGCTAACTTAATTAAACCCTGTATTTAGTAAGTGAACTACTTTACATGTTGAATAAAGCATAAGACATTTTTAGCCCAAAAAAGGTAAAGAACAATGTGACTTTAAAGAAATCTACCCCGGACAAAAACACTTCGGCTGAATACCCATGTCAGAATCAAATGAATGACACCAAAAGAAGAGTTTGGGGTGATATTCCTGATCATGCCTGCAGTCCCAGAACCCCATGGTTGTGCAGACTGCTCAGTTGAAACCACAGAGAGGGGCAGAAACTCAGCCTGAGTCCTGCTCACCACGCCATGGACTGTGCCATCTGCAGGTCAGACCTGGTGAAAGATTCCTGGTTCTCTTGCCAAGCTTGACACCATGAACTGAGCTGTTGGTGGGGGTCAGACTCAGGGAGGAAAGCACAGCATTGAGGTTGTCCAGGACAGTCTGCTGTGTCACACGACTGGAACTGGAGCTTACATCGGCATGACCTTTAAAAATCTTTGTTTCAATGGGAGAAGAGTACACATTACAAGTTCTGCATAGTTTGAAGAGGAGCTGTAGTGAGAAATTCCAGCTTATTTCACTGTATAACTTGTGTAGACAGAGGGGACCCTGGATGAAATTAAGAAGAGTTTGGATTTGAGCCCTCTTCATATTCCCTTTCTCTACAAAAGAGTCCTCTCTTGATTCTTGTCCCCTTTCACCCCATTCACCACATGGCTCAGACACCAGCTTCAAACTTCCCCTTGCTAAGACAAAGCAAAACCACCTGTTTACTAACACCCTTGTTCAAGAGGAAAATGTTTTGTCATCAAATTCATACTAATATATAAATAATTAGAACAGTTACATTCTCCAAGGGTGACCCTTCAACACTAACCAGGAAATGAACAGCATCTGCACCTTCTCAGCACATGTTGGGCAGTCGGGGGATGTTTGAGTGTTTAAGGCAAAAAAGTTTATTTTGTCCTGAGGAAAAACTCCTGAGAGTTTCCTTCATTCCTGAGACTCATGCTTGTCTGTCAAGTTGACATCATCTTTGTTCCTTGCTGCTATTATCTATTACTGTGTTTAGTTTTTCATTTTTGGTTCTTTAGATCAACCTAAATAGTTCATTCCTAGCTCTGAACATGGTTATACTGGCATTTCATTCCATCTACCAAACTTATTCTTCCCTGCTTACCTTTTTCCCAGGCAGGCATACTGCCTTAGAACTTCTACTCCATTGCCAAAACTACTTTAAGTCATAGCCCCCCAAATCTACCTGTTTAAAAATCTCAGGCCCTGCCTCTGTTTTGAAGCTTTGATCATTGAGGTGGAAGTTCAGAAGTTCCCCCATTACTTCCATATCTAAAGCAAACCCCATAAGCCCAGGAGAGGGATGGAAAAATTTACTCTATCTGTAAAACTCTTTTAAAGGCAAATATCATGTCTCTTCCTGGTTTTCTTTCTATACCAAGCCTAGCGAAACATGGTTGGTATTTATCTTCTTTGTAGAGCGATTATCATAGGGTACTGGAAGCTGGGACTTTCCTTTTCTGTTAACAATTATTGCTTGCTTTAAATAAACTCCTACAGCTTTTTAGAGAGCTTATGTTATGCCAATGAGGTTTTTATAAAGATCACTACTTCATTTGATCAGCTTGGATAAAAAAATTCTACCAACAGGCAGCATGGGCAAATGAACTCTGGTCAAAGAAGTCAAATGAGTGAAGTGAAAAGCTCAATTTCATAATTTTTAGTTCCCTCCATTCAAATCTTTATTTTAAGAGTTTCTAATCTTTGGATGTGTGGAGTTTTTTAATACCAAGAAGCTATGGTCATATTCCACTTGGTCCACTTGCATATTTAATCTTGGTAGACTCCTATGAAATCAAGTATATGGCAGTAAGATTCCAAATTTCCCTTCCAGATGAGAGGAAGCATTTCAGATATATTTAGGAATGCTTTGTGAAGGTACTGTCCTTTCTTTCCCCCCACTCACTGGAATGAGTTACTGTGTTCGAAAGGCCAGAAAACCTCTTGCTCAAGAACTCCAAAGGTTCTAAACCTTTGATGATGTGCTACCAACTTCCTGTCTCCCAGCTCTGGTCTTATTTACATCATTCTCCTAAATAGAACTTATGTTGATGTCTGAGTGCTGTGCATTTCACTCATCCTACTTGCTGTTCTTAGCAACTGAGTGCTTCTCAAAACCCTTTCCATTTCTCTGGCTCCAGGCTTTAGGGTCCTTTAATATAGTCAAGGTGAACTATGTGCAGTACATATAACCATGTGGGTACATCTCTCCACTTCTGTTCTAAGACAGCCCAGATCAGACACACCATTTTTCTTCTATAAATTTCTAAAGTTTTGTCTACCCTCTTTTCACAAGCCTGGTTGTGCTAAGAAACTGTAATGTAGTTAACAAATTTTTAGCTGGTATCTTTATTCAGTTTAACCAGATGTATCTTTAGCTACAGGTTGAAGAAGGGGTCACCCATCCTTCAGAACAAAGAAGGGAATGGGCTAAGGTCTCAACCCCATTGTCTTGGGTGAAGGGAGTTGGTTGGAAAGAGGATCTCTGGTATCTCCAAGGCCCAGCCACTGTGAGCTCCCATTGGCTCTTGGAAATAAGGGATCAAGAGTTTGCCAATTGATGTGCCACCAGTATGTTTCATATGTGAGACAGAGTCTGTAGACAGCATTGTAGGCATGTGCCCACCACATTCACTTCATTTCTAAACTGGTTAAATATGGTCGTTCATTTGGCAAACAAATATTGAGTATCTCCTATATGAAAATGCATTATGCACTATGGTGGAGATAGAATAAAGCACTTCCCAGCTCTTAAGCATTTTATGATTGTTTAAACCTTTGAGTTTAGAAGTGTTCTAAAAGTGTCTTGTTCTGGAGATGCTCTCTAAGAAAATTATAGTTGATGTAAGTTTCTGCTGTTGTTATTGTGATTAAACTCTTTATGTGGTTGCTACACCATCAGTTGCATTAACAACTCGCCCCCATCCCTCCCCTCGTGACCATCCTGAAGAGCTGTATTCCAGGTAGTTGGTGTGCAAAGTTAGGAATGGATTTCCAATGCAGGCAAAGCTAATAAATATGATTTAGGATGAAAGGTACTGTGTAAATGTTTGAGATGTTGTTATTACCGTTCTCATACACTTTGTTATTTTTAAATTGTGCATCCTTTTTAAGTAGATTATTTGTTCGCCACAGTCTCCATTATATCTAAGCAAAGCATTCACAGAAATTTCTAAAACCTTTTCATTTCTCTCTGTAGGTTGTTGTTTCGTAACATTTTATACAAGAAAAGCTGCACTTGAGGCCCAGAATGCACTGCACAATATTAAAACTTTACCTGGGGTGAGTCGGTTTACTTTTGTACCAAAATCACTTTATTGCTTGAAAATGGGTCCTTTCATCTGAAAGTTCTAGTTATGGGCTCTTAGTGCCAAACATGACTTTGGTCTTTTGAGGAGTATGATGCTGACCCCTCACTTCCCCTGCAGCAGCCAGACCAGCTGGCAGGCCTATAAAGAAGCCCTGGCATTAACGCAGACGGAAAGAGCTCCAGAATAGCATGTGCCCTGGTTAGAGAATCAGAGTGACCCCACTGGGTAACAGCGGCTGCCAGAGTATTGGGTGGGCTAAGATTTTAAAAGGGTGGGGGTGGGGGGACGCAACACACATGAGGGTAGCAAATGGAAAAGGAAAAGCTTTTACTCACCAGGAGCCCCCTTTCAAATTTCGTCTTTAGATTCTCTTTTGAAAGGACAAAATGTACCCTGTACAGCCATAATATTAAACCTCCTAATGGTTTCTAAACAGTCAATGGTGGTTAACAAAAGCAATGTTTTAATGCCCAATTTGTGACTTCATGTTGATATAGAACAGCAAATACAAAGCTTACCATTTTTTCCCCCATTTCCTTCCCAGTTATATTTGATGATTAGTGCAATTCACTGGAAATGAACTGATGGTTGCATATAGCTGCTTCATCAGAATACATTATTTCTAAAGGGTTTTGTGGCAATTTTATATAGTGCCTGCTAGTATAAATTTTCTTATGCTGTTTGGATATTTCCCCCATTGACCTGAATCTCAGTGATGAGTTAATTTAATGTCATAACAATGTGCATTGGTTATAATGAAGAACCTGGGGTAAGCAGTGCAGTGATAATGATTTTATTGAAATCTGGTTTGAGAAGAATAAAAGAAAGATAACGTAATGTCCCTAATATGTTCAGGGTCTAATTCTAACTTTGTGTCATTTAGCTCTGTCTGTAATCATACCCACCTCTCCCCCCAACCCCGTGTGTACATACTAATATATGCATTTTATAACCCATCAACCCCCATCCAGATAAGACAGCATTTGTTTAATTCACCTTAGATCCATTAAAAATGTTACAGTATTTGTAGTGGGAGGATAATTCAACCAAGGTTTTCAAAGCACTTAGGACATCTTAATCACCCAAAAGTAATTAATATGAACCTTGATCTGGAATCACACAACTTTTTTATTGCCTTTTTGTGTGAGCAAATCAAAGAGGTTCCGAAAGCAAGTGTGCTGCCAGAATTTTCTCTCCCGATTCACTTTAACTCTGTCTCCCAGAAACTTCTGGGGTGGTTTTTAGTAAGGTGGTTCCTTTTAATAGGTATAAGTGCTTTGCTCAGAAACTTAAAAAAGTAGCATTTCAGCTTTTCAATTCTCCATATAAATGAAATTTTTCCAATGTGAATTCCAGGAGACTACAATGTTAGGGTGACATTCTCAAGTGAAGCAACAGGGCAGATATTTCCTGGTTCCAACAATGATAGAATAAAATTGTTTTTATTTCCCATTTCCTAATCAAACCTAAAGATCCATTTTATTATTCCTTCTCTGAAAAAGAAATTAGCACACAAAATTCTTCCAGGTATGTTGCAATATTTATTTGAGATGATGAATTTGTTTTTCCACTTATATATGTTTACATATTTTTTTGCATTTACAGTGTAAAGATGCCACATTACATTCTATCTTAAATTAATGCAAAGAATGGCTGATTTGGGTTCTTTCTCTCCATCGGAAGCTCAGCTCCCAATAAACAGTCTTCCTAGGTGAAAACATTCTCAAGGAGCCCAAAGTTAATATGATGAATGGCCATGTTGGAAAATATACAAGTGACTGATGAATATGCTTCTGATTGGGACATCTTACTGTGACCCTTTTCTTAACAAACAAACAGTATCTTATGTATTAAAAAAAAAAAGTTTCACGTCCCTTTTTTTCTTTCCCTTAAAAATTCTGAGAACAATAGGTAGGGATGGTGATCTTAGTGACCCATTATTGAAGACAATAACTCTAGAGTTGAAAAGATGGTTTGTGGATTGTTTTTGGTTTTCTTTTCATCCAGTTCAATTTCACATGCCAATTACTTGAGGCAGGTTAAATGAACATATCAAGAATTCAGATTTGATTTGTAGCCTCATAGCCTTCACAGTGCTCACACTTTTGCTACAGTTTCCTTTTCAAATTAGGTGAATAGGAACCGAGTTCCATAGCTTACATTTATGTATAGCTTTATCTGAGAAAGATCACCTTTAACAGCTACAGGAGGAACATGAAAGTAGTTTCCTTTCAGCTGTGAGCTTTTGGTGGACAGGAAGAAGTGGGACCAGACATAAAAGATTAATGCATATTCTTGGGAAAAAATATTACAGGGTGCCTTGCTGTTTGATTACAAGCCTTGGAATTAGTCAACATTTCCATAATTCTAAACCAATATACACCTGTTTTCCCACTGTGATGTGAAGGCACAACTTAATTTAACAGAAACCCTGCTGTGCTAAATCTCTCATTAAATACCAAGTGAGTTCGGTAATTTAAAGTTGTAGCACTACTATTTTAACTGGCTGCCTTCATATTATGAAATTAATAAGAAATTAATGATGCACTTTGCCATATGCCTTCAATTTCCTTCTGAATAAAAATAAAAGGGATCAAGAAAAATGCATCACCAGCTGACACTTTAAAGCTTTTCGGGTTGTAATCATTTTCCTGCAGATAAAATCCATTATAAAGGCACTTGCTGTCTTTTTTTTTTTTTTTAAGTGTCCAAAACTTTCAATTTAAAACAAGATCAAATAGTGCTGCCTGTTTGGGCTTTTTCCTATTTATTTCCCTTTGCAATTGATGTTTTATACCAATACAAAACTTTTTTATCATGCAACCAAACTCGATTAATGTTTAGGGACCATCTTTGTTTTTGAAGGAAGCAAGGACGAGTTGGTATGGGACTGCCTGCTATGCAGCTGAACATGTCTACTCTTAGACTTTAATGTAAAGACAACCTTCCTTTCCTGTCTTGTATTGATTATAGAGACCCTTACATTGGTGGTGGGTTGGGGTCAAAGGTCAGGATAACACTAAACAATGTAAAGTCATTAAGGACACAATTCTCCAACCTCAGCATGTTAGAAAGACACAGGGTCACATCCTCTGAAATGTTCGACATACATCCTAGAAATACACTATTAGAAGTAAAGGGAGCAAATTCAACAGCTTACCTCGGAGAGCAAGGAATGAGAGCCAATTATCCATCTCTGGTTTGATGATGTTCTCATCTAGAAATTGTGGCTTGCTTTTAGGCAACAGATCAAATCTTAGGTATGGTGCCTTCTAATGACTAACCTTGCATTAGATTAACAAATCATACATGATTGTTGAGTGCCCTACTGTGTGGGAGGCACGCAATAAGCTATGCCTCTCTCGTTCTCTCATGCTAGCTCACTCTCTCTCTTTCACATACACATGCGCACACACATGCACACGCACACACACACCTGCAGCACGCACATGCACTGCCCCCTTTGCAACCCCCATGACTCTGCACAGGCAGGGTCATGGAATAAGCCTCCAGGCTTAGTACACAATTGTTAGACTGACATTTTCCACAGCTGAACCATCATGCTCTTGAACAAATTTTCGTCACTTCTGCTTTGAAGATCTGGCAAATCAGGCTTAGCAGAGCTTCCTTTGTTTAGGGTTTCAGGTAGACATAACCTTGCTGATAGAATTATTTAATAGAAATGTCATCTGCCTTTCTATTTCTCAGCAAGAAATCCTTGTAAACGCAACTCAAAAGATTTATGTTGTTTTCACGGACCTAATTTAGCTTAATTAAAAAATAAAATAAAGACCTTAATTGAGACACAGAAAAACTACTACAGTCTTTTCAGTAATCAGATGTCAGGGCCAAATATCCCTGGGCCTTATGTCATTCTTCTTTCAAGGGCTTACATATTGTCTCTAGCAAGAAGGCTTTCAGATTGAAAATCTACAGCAGTATCATCAGAGCGTTCACTGTATAAATTAATTTAATTAAGGATGTAATAACAGAGAGGAATACAGTTTTGAAAAAGCTCTTAAATTTTAACAGCAAGGAGGAATTGGTGGAATCTAAATGTCTTGTAAAATATTAATTGCAAATTTCTTCCAGACATTTTCTCTGAATATGCCTTACTCCTTTCTTTTTCAGAATCACTACCAGTTTTATTAAATGCAGTTTATATTAAGGAGTTATTGCCCTGAGAGAACATTTGTGTGGAGCACTCCATTTTAGTGGTGGCATCCCAAAAGGTGTTTGTAATAACATCTGCCATGTGACCAAGGGCTACACATAGGCTTGAGACATAAAAACAAATGATCCTGATCCAGTGGGAAGAAGCTGTAGATAAAATGGCCTCTTAGGACAAGTGTGTTCACCCTCATGAAGTGAATGAGCCCCTCCCTGGCTTGCCCGGGAACAGGGAGCTTTCCTGTGTGGGTAGCACTGTCCTCCCAGATGACCTTTAACTCAGCTCTCCGTAGACTCGTCCCTTTATGTCCTTTCATACTGGAATGTTAGGGTTTAATATTCTTTCAGTGGAACAGTGTGGTTCTCCCTGGGACCAAATTCAATTTGCCCATTGTAATGCGGTTGGAGGTGCTCATTTTCTTTGAACCACCTTTTCTAATTATTAATTTGTATTTAATGCCTTTGTTCTCAGAGCCACGATGATTATTTTATCATTATCACCATCATTATTATCATTATTATATCTGTCATAAAATCTCAAGCCCATCTCATCATATCAAGGAAATTTCTCCAGAAAAACATCGCATTGCAAAACCTAGCGAGGCCAGTTTAAAGGTTTTTTTCACAAATTCTTTTTATTTAAAATTTTTTTTGGCAAAGAAAAAATCATCAAAACATCTCTCTGAATAGGTTTGAGTCTTTAAAATCATATATCACGTAGATGCATGATTCCCGAAGGTTCATAGACATATCACCCTAGTATTGAATTTTCCTTATTTGCCAGGCACTGTTTCAGGAAGG